CCGGCTCCCCCCCGGGAACCCCCAACCGTCCTCCCGTCCTCTCTTGCCGTTGGCTCCCCCTCCCCGTCCTGTCCCCGCTACTGGACGGTTGGTGGCCGCGAGAGCCCCGCGAGGTAGGTCAGGCGGGGAGGCCCTCCGAAGGCAGGCGCTGCTGTACCTGGCTCTTTTAAGCTCCGGAGGCTTTGGATCACAGCTCCCATCCCCCATCGTCGCCAGTGACCTTGCTGGGAGAGGATGATGGGTCTTGTAATCCACCAGTTTGGAGGGCACCAGTTTGAAGCCGTGCTGGACAAGAGAGTGGGGATGAGAGTTAGTTCCCAGTGTGATTTTACTGGGAGAACTGGAAAAGCTTTCCTAAGAGGCAAAAGTGTCCGCAAGGTGTGGTCAAAAAAGTCAAGGGGGTCGCCATCTTGACTTTTTTGACCACATCCTGCAGACACCCCTGCTAAGGGAGAACGTAACTATGGATGCCAAACAGCCTAGGAGCTTTTGACGTTACCTGCAGGGTGGGAGATGTTGTCTTGTTCGTGCCCACACTTTGGGAGTGGCCCGGCTTTATGGCAGAAGAACCCACAACCTGCCCCTTTTCCCTGCCAGCGTTGCTCCAGTTTGAGGGAGAAGGGAGGCTGGCCTTTGTCATGCTATCTTGCCTCCTGCCAAAGGGCACATTATGAAGAAAATAACCAACAAACTGTGTCAAAGTGCCTGTCTCTGGAGGACTGAGTCTCTCCACTTTTCCCTTTCCCCAGATTTCCTGAGCAGTTTTTATCTAAGTGCAAATGTGTAGTAAAAGTAAGAGTTGGAAGGGCTGTCTAGCCCTTGAGTTCTGCCTCCACTAATGCAAGGATCCAAATTAAGACATCCCTGATAGCTGAATGCCCAGCTCTGCTTAAGCACATCCAGAGAAGAGGAACCTTTGCTTTCTTTAGGAATTACTTCCAGTGTTGAACTGCTCCTACAGTTCCTAGTGTGACTTTGGGCAGCTTACAAAGTTAAAAATCCAGAAAACAATACAAAATCAACCAAAAAATAACTGCAAAAATCATTAAAAACAATAAAGCAATTAAAACAGAATCAGCAGTAGGACACCGTTCATTTTCCTAAAAGTACAGCCATTTAGCAAGCGCTCCATCAAAATCACTGGATCCCCAGGCTCTTCTGGAAGGCCAACAAGTCAGGGCCAAGCTCACCTCAAGAGGGTTGATGTTCCAAAGGGCTGGTGTCACGGCAGAAAAGGCTCTTCTCCTGGGTTGAATTAGATGACATTCTTTCATGGACGGGACCTGTATCATGCCCTTCCTGGCAGACCTGATAGGACAGGTAGATGTGATTGGGGTGAGGCAGTCCCTCAAATATCCCGGCTCCATATATAAATAGTATTATTAGTCAACTCTCAAGATTAAACCCCATGTCCTTGCTGCCATCCAGTAGCAGAACAGTTGACCAGTAGACTTAGAGTTATAAGGAATTTAGAAAATCGCTCTATGATACAGTGGGAAAGAAAAAAAAAAGCATGGATGGATGGAGCAACCAAAATGCTTTACAGGCCAACTGGAGGAGGCTTTTTGGTTGATGATATTAGGAAGGGATGAATTTTCAGCCAAGAGAACCACCAATCATGCCCCTTAAAACAACTTGTGCATTCAACTTTAAGCAGCCCAACCAGGACCTGCTCTGGATTGTGGTAAGGACACACGGGGGCAGCATGATATCCTGCCAGCTTTGATATGGGAGGGAAGCATGGCAAGGCAACTGTATGGATCCAGTCTAAGACAGTCACTTAGGAAGCATAGGTATGCAAAGCTAAATGTCATCAGAAAGGGCCTTTTACAATGAGAAGACCTTTACCCAGCATTAGTTGAGTTTAAGCAATATGGAAGGCTGGTGCAAGAGCATGAAAATGGAAGGATAGCCTATTCATCTATTAGAAAAAGGTTGAACTGTATTACTGCCCCAGAAATTGTAGATCTTTTATTCTGAATTGTATTCAAAGGTATCACTTGAACATCTATCACTGCTGTTAATTTCTGCAATGAAGGCGTGTAGTTGCCTGTTGGGTCATGGGCAGCATCTTCCCTCAAAGGGTCCTCATAATCTGAAATAACAGTATTTTGCTATACACAGTTGCACGGTTTGCAGGGAATTCCACTCCATACCATACCCATATGTGGTAAGGTCTTTAGCATTGGGCATCACAGTGTGGACAACCAGGCTGCCCAAAGTGCCCTCACTGTGGTTGTTTATGGTTGTTGGGCCAGGAATATGGACTTAAATACCTTGGAAAGAAACCCAGAAAGTGCTGGGCTAAAGTAAATTCTTTAAGTGGTGAGAACCTGGGAGGCTCATATTGAATCATATTTTTGAGACATTATACATCTTTAATTTGTAATACGCTAATAACATTTGCACACAGTCAGTGGAATTAGGTTGCCTAGTCAAATTAAACTAAACTTTGCCAGGATATTACAGTCTTATACCGATCACAGGATAACAAAGTTCAGGAAAGATGAGCACCAGTTGAACCCAGTTTTATTTGTTTCTTTGCTTGTTTTTGTTTTTTTGTATGCTGTTCACTCCTGAAAGCACTGCATTTTTTGAAGGTGGTTAGATGATTATTGCAGTCTAGTATTGATAAATAGGGATAAATAGCCATGTATGTCTCTATCCTTTCACTACTGTAGAGGAGTTTGTAGGTGAAAGATACCATTTTGTAAATGTCACCCAGTAGCATTCCACCTATTTGCATTAGGCTCCAGATAATCCCAAACAAAGCCTGAATTTTTCAGATCTAATGTCAGTTGTGAGACTGGCAAACTCAGGAAAAAAGAATGACTTTTTTGGGTTTCTGGAAAGAGTGTTATTGCTAGTAGAACAAGGTAACAGAATCTTGAAAGCCTCCCAAAATAATTCTGTACAGTTTATACCTAGCGTAATTTAAGGCAGAGACACTGAGTTCACTTGAGTTTTTTTCTCACACTTCCCCCTCGGCTGGACTCAAGAATCTCTTCTGGAAAGGTCCTGTTTCCTCCCTAAACTGTTTTGCTACCTCCTGCATTCCCAGGGTTCGTTCAGCATGCCATGGGACCTAGAAGCAGCATCGCTTTGACTGTTTAGTAACATCCAATGAAAATGAGAAAAGTAGTTCCAATTCCACATGCAAGTTGGTCCTTGTTTTCCTGCAAGGGCTGTTTTGGTTGAGTCAGTGCTATCCAGAATAGTGCAGGCATACCTCATTTTATTGTGCTTTGCTTTATTGCGCTTTGCAGATGTTGCGTTTGTCAAACAGCATTGCATGCTACAAAGGAATCTTTCGTGAAAGGAAGAGCCAGTCAGTGTGGCCAACTTCACTGTTGTCTTATTTTAAGAATTTTTTAAATTCAGGCATGTACATTGTTCTGTAGACGTAATGCTATTGCACCCTTAATAGACTACAGTATAGTGTAAACATAACTTTTATATGCACTGGGAAGCCAAAAAATTTGTGTGACACACTTAATTGCGATACTCGCTTTGTTGAGGTGGTCTGGAACCCAACGCGCAATATCTCTGAGGTATGCCTGTACCTGGAAATAACCTCAAATCAGGCCTTTTAACTCTCTTCTTACTGGAAGTCAGGCATCCTATTTTTTTAATGAATAGCTCTTTTTACCCACTTAAGGTTTTCACCTCTTTAAGTGTTTAATTTCTCTTACTGATTTGCTTATTCCTTGCCTTGGAAGAGACCCACAACTCTTAAATGAAGTATTTTCCTAAAAACTGGGCACTTCTTGTTTCTCCACCAGATATTTAAACTATAAGGAAATGCATGTTCAGATAACAAGCACGTTGAGAAGTTTCAGCGTACAGTAGGTCTCTTGGGAGAAGGACTCATGTTTCATGATATTTGGTTTTCATTGGCAAGAAATGGAAAGTGATCCCAGATTGCTGGAAAGAACCGCAGATTCTTGCCTCGGCACAGGATGAGCATGGGCACGATCAAACTCAGTACAAACAAGTTACATTTGTTTTCTTCAAGCTATATCAAGATTCTGCAGTGCAAAGCTTTTTTCAAATTGTCTGGGTTCAGAAGTATAACACTGACTTATGTTTATGTTCCCTAGTTAAGTTTTTTTTTTTTAAGTCAACTATTGCAGGCAGAAGATTGAAATGCTTTTTTGGTAATGATTTACCCCTCTCCACAAACTTCTTTCATCTCTGGGAGGAAATCCAGATTACTCAGCATTGTATATACTCCTGTGAAATCAAAACTCCTTTCCAGGCCCCTGACACAGAATAATCCATTGTTTCCCTGGGTGGGGCTATTCATGCTTATCTAGGATAAATAATACATTATTGAAATCCTTACAAAGCATCTTACTTCATCTGCCAGCTATTCAGATTTCCAGTTAGCTTTTTCTTTTTTCTGCACAATATATTTTGATTCAAAATATACTGTTATGGACTCTTAAAAGCTATAAACTTTCGATAAGCATACAGGTATTAGCATTGCTTCCCCCATTTGCTATTT